AAGTGTAGTTTGGATGTGGCAGAAGGCCATAAGTAAAGGGCACCCAGTGAGAATTGAACTCACTACTCAGTCGTAATTGTTCTAGCGAGACAAGCTTGCTAACCATTACACCACCTCGAGGTGCCCTAGATTGCAGTTGACATAAAAGTGAGAAACTGGAGAGTTCCACAAGCGAGAAGTGCGAGAGATAAAACTATTAGAACTTAAGGTTACTCTTTTTAGTAATCATTTCACTCCAAACAAGGCAATAAAGACACAATTGTTACTAGATAAAGACACTAAAGTTACTAGAGTGTGAGAGAACACGAGAAAAAAAAAGCATTATTAAGGAGAGAGAACAATAAAAAAAACAGGAATTAAGAAGACAGAAGATAACGATTGACATTACCTGGAAAGCAAGAAGCCGGAAGAGTGTTCTATAAGCGAGAAGTGTGAGAGAAGAAACTGTTACCATAGAACTTACGGTTATATCTATTTCAACTTTAAATGATGGTACCTTGTCGTCAATCTAGTACTACGCTTAAATTCATAAAGTCTAGTTACCATAGAGAATATTTCAACAGAACACTCATCATGGAAACGTTTATAGAAAAAGTTCAGGGAAGCTGTTACCGCAGTGATAAAGTAACTCAAGCCGAGATGCCATGGCTGGACTAATAACATTACAGATTATTTGTATTTTACCAAGAATCTGTAAATACAGGGGCGAGTTTGGGGGGGGGTAGAGAGTGAACGCCCCCGCCTAAAATTTCTGAGAAAGTATTTTTTGTTGCAAAGTTGATAAGGTAAGTTATAATGAGAGTGAAGACAGATTTAACGTGCTTTTTCTTTTGTATGTTCACGAAGACATTCAATTAGATTATGATAAAATCGTGAACTTCTATGCAAATAAGAATCTACGAAAATTGACTTTAGTAAATCCTCTTTCATAAATGCTATATAATCACACCTTGAATCTAAAAGTTTGAATTTACAATTTTACATATCAACTAAATAAAAGAAAACGCAAATTTGACTTATATATGATCACAGAATTTAAAATTTTGAATTGAGATTTTTACTGAGAAACACGCCCCCTCTAACTGAAAATGCTGGATCCGCTCCTGGTAAATACATAGCAGAAGCATTAGACCAGATGTGGCAGCAATATTCAAAGCGTGGACGAAAGGCGAATTTGTAAATATGTAAGATAGATTCTGGCCAAAAAAATTGTCTCACCCGACACAGTAAACGAACTTTATTTGTGATGGTTGAGTCGATTTCCATGTAAATGTGATGTAAAAACCTGAGGGACGAGATTATGGTCAAATTCATTTTTTTTAATTTTTCAATTTTTTTTACTTAGAACAAAACTGAAAACTGTGGTGTTGATGATAATATGCATTAAGAAAAGAGTAATGGTTTTTTGTTCATCGGGTAACTTGTGCAAACCCTACAGAAAACAAAATTGTGCATCAACCAAGTGCGTCTGTATATTTGTAAAATATGCGATACCATACCGAGATAAATAGTTACAAATATGCGATTTTATAGGTTGGAGATTTGTTGGGGTATGGTCGGTTGGGTGGCAGTTGGCATTCTCAGGAGGCGGGTGTAATTACCAATGTTACTTGTACAAGTATGTTAGTTAAGGATGTCTTCCAGATGTCGTTCCCTTTCAGTTTGAACACCCCCACATCAAGATGAAAGTGTTGTTGTATCAAGTGGCAAAGTAATGTTGTCATGTTTACAAAGTTCAGTTATGTTGCGCCAATTATTTCTCAAAGTAAATGGCAGGAAGTAGATTAATGTGAGAGATGAAGAAGACATATGTAGAAGAGAAGAAATGAAAAAGGGAATAAAAAGAGAGACAGGTGAAGAATGGTAAAAGCAGAAAAAGGGTGCAAGTAAACGGAGAGTGTAAAGGGAAAACAAACTAAAGAGGGAGAGGAGGAGAAAAGGAAAGAAAGAAAGAAAATATCGAAGAAGCAAAAGAAGAAAAAGAGAAACGAGAATTAAAAAAGTTTCAAAACAGAAAAAAAAACGGTTATTTACCGTGTTTACAACAAATCCGGCACAAGGTCATTAAATTGGCGCTTATTTTCTGTTTCGTCGCCTTCATCCGTTGTCCCTTTCCTCCTTTGAATATTTATTCGCTGGCTTGTTAGGCCCCGAGCGTCATCCACTGTACAACATCGTTTGATTCATGAAGGAGAAACATGAAGGATAGGAAATAGAATGAAAAAGAATAAAGGAAAGAAATTTGGAAAGAAAAAGAAAACAAAATAAAAAAAAGAGAAGAATAAAAGTTAAAAGAACGAAGGAGGCTAAATTTATCTCATTCATTACGATACTCGAAGTCGTCTGCTAACGGTTTCTACAACTTTCACAAGGTATTATCGTAGGGATTTTTACAATGACATTAGTAAGAAGTAAATACCTCTTACGAGTGGACTTTAAAAAATCCTAACAAAACAATATGTCGGAATGCGCAAATCATATATTACAGTTATCGTTAGTTAGAAGCTGTACGCATGTCATTTTCACGAGTTAACTCTGGTAACTAGCGTGATTCCCCACTTCTGACTCAACTCAATGCAATAGGAAGGTGTCAGACTGTTTAGAAAGAAGTGGACACGTTTTTTTATTGTGACATAAATACGTAGGAATAACACAGACTAAAAGACAATGGCTATTTGAAAGAGAGACGAGTCTTTCTCACTCGATATGGCGTATAGGGCCAATGCTTCATCACGCTAGTGTTGCTGCAGCTCTTTCCGTAGTTAGTGAGCTTTGTTACGTCGCAGAAAACTTGATATACAGGGTACCCCCCAAATTGACATCATTTAAAATGTCTGAGTAACTGTGTGTCCAGGCAAACGAAATTAAATAGGCTTCGTGATGAACAATAACCAATTTATTTATCAAAATTCGAACAAGATATTCAAAGGAATGTAGATTTTATAACTGGTTTCACAAAGCTTCAGAAATGTTCAATATGTGCAACATCTGTGAGACGATACAAGTCAAGTCGGTAGTCCAGCTCCTACCAAACATGCAGTAGCATGTCTTCGTAGCATTCTCCAGTGCCCTAGTGATTTTCTGCTCCTCTAGGCTTGTAGGAAGAGGAGGTATATAGACCTGTCCCCATAGAAATCACAATATGTCAAGTCAGGTTAACCTGGTGGTCATTTCAACAGTACATTGTCATTATCACTGACACGCCCGATTCGTCTTCCTGGTAGACTCTCATTGAGAGCCGCTGGAGAATGTTACGCAAGACATGCTGCAGAGCGTCTGGCAGAAGTTGGATTACCGTCGTATCACAGATGGTGCGCATATTAAATATTTGCAAAGTTTTGTGAAATCAGTTATAAAAACTACATCCCTCTGAATATTTTGTTCGAATTTTGATAAATAAATCCTTTATTGTTCAACATAAAGCCTTTTTAATTTCATTTGCCTGTAACATGTAACTTAGATATTCACATTTTCATTGGTGTGGATTCTTTTGCGGCACCCTGTATTTGGGAAAGATATTGAGTAATCAAGAACCTATATTGGCAGTAAACTTCTCTGTATACGGATAGAAAATGAGTTCAGCAGATATACAAAAAATAGAAGGGTGTAAGGCAAGGATATGTCATATCACCAGATTTATTGAAGGAATGCGAAAAGAAAGGATTAAACATCAACTGGAAAAAGACAAAATGCATGGCTGTTAGCAAAAGGATGAGACCAAAGTGCGAATTGAAAATCGGAGATACCAAAATCAAACAAGTACAAAAATTTAAATATATGGGAAGAGGACGCTAAGTGTGACACTGAAATCCAAAAGTGCATTGGGATAGCCAAGGAAGCATTCCAAAAGCTAACCAGAGTACTAAGAAATAGGAAAAGTTCGCTAAAAGCAAGAAAAAGAGTACTAAACTGCTATGTGATATCTCTCCTCCTGTATGGCAGTGAGTGCTGGACGATCTCCTCAAAGATGCAGCCGAAACGTTGAAGCAACAGAAATGTGGCTCTACAGAAGGATACCGAGGACACCATGGACCGAACATGTGAGCAACGACGAAGTTTTGGAGAAAATAGAAATAAAAAGGAAACTGATACTTAACACCAGAAAGAGACAATTGATGTTTTTGGGTCATATAATGAGGAAGGAGGACTTGGAAAATCTAATACTCACGGGACAGATAGAGGACAAGAGGAAAACAACGCATAACATACGTAGGGAGCTTGATCAAATGGATGGCGGAACAGAGTTTAGGAAAAATAACGGAAACACAAAGTTTATTAAGAGCAACACTGGACAGGAAGTTCTGGAAAGCCACGATTGCCTACTTCCTGAGGGAAAACGACACAGAAAGTTTTAAGCCGAGTTTAAATTCCAAAGGAAAGTTGGATCTTCATGTCGCGTTCAAATTCCGGCCGAAGTCGTTGCGTTTACTTTCGAACAAATACCCCGAAGAAAGGTATGAATGCATTTCTTCTCTCCCCTCACAGATATGGGTTAAATAGCAGGACTGTTCCCTCTAGCTATGGTTAGCAACCAACCTAGGAGAAAGATAACTGAGTTGAAAACTGGTTGGACGTGGTATTGGCAAGTGTGATCGAAGAAAAAATATCCATTGCCACTCCTGTTATAATGGTACATTGACTGGCATAGTTCTGTGATTTCTTCACAAGGCCTGAAAAAAATCCAGTCCATATATAATAACAGGACACATGCTAGTTTTTTTGCCCACATTGGAGAATCTTGTATAACCTCGCCACAAAAGTTTAAAAAATATTTTGATACACCCTGTATATATATATATATATATATATATATATATATATATATATATATATATATATATATATATATATGTGTGTGTGTGTGTGTGTGTGTGTGTTTGAGGTAGTTGCGTGACAGACACGTACAAACAAAGTAGAGAGATAACTCGGTTTTAGATTTGACAGAAAAGCAGACCCACAAGAATGATTACGTAGTTGGTGTTGGAAAAACGAATTTATAGATCCTTACCGATAAATATATATATTTATTTTATTTTATCTGTCTCTTTTTTCCCCAATATTCTATCTATCTATCTATCTATCTATCTATCTATCTATCTATCTATCTATCTATCTATCTATCTACACGAAGCGATGTTGAAAAGTTATCGATATGAACATTCCCCAATATCAGCATTCTGATATTTAGTCATCGAAATATTGATTTTCAGGAGTGGGTCAGATCAAGAACTTTTCACCATCACCTCGCGTGTCGTATATATATATATATATATATATATATATATATATATATATATATATATATATATATCTAGGTACCTCCACAGACATGCTAAAAAATGAGCATACATGAATAAATGCCCCAAACTTAATCAAAACAAAATTTTTTCTCTAAAATGTTTATGTTATTATTAAGAGGAAAAATCATAGGATTTTGTAATTATTAATATTAAATTATATATTTGATCCTTATTAGAACGTTCGAAATTTTGGTTACAGATTTTGTTTTTCTTGCATCAGCAGGAGGAACAAAGATTAGTATAAGAAATTTTAGCGTTTTTTTTGCGGTGAAAAACACAGTGATTTGAAAATTCTTGCAAAAATTAAGTAATTTCTGTGATATTTTAAATTAAAAGTAGGTAATGTTTGTTTCAAATCAGATTGATTAAACTTTAAATCTGCCAATTAATTTATTTTTGAAAGAATTGTGATAAAGAGAATTACATTGTGCTGACAGATGGATTCTTCATTTTTTTTAATTAATATACATTTAGGTTCTTTATTCCCGGTCAAATACAGGCCAAAACTAGCTCAATAAAAAACTATCTTTATAAGTCTGCCATTCGTTCATGCATTGAATATTACTGCCACACCTGGTCTGGTGCTTCTGCTATGTATTTAGAGATTCTAGATATATAAAAAAAAGACTTTGCAATGTTATTGGTACTGATCTGGCATCAGTGACTTTCCCCGTGCATTTTCTATAAATATTTTCATGGTAATTCTTCTAACGAACTTTCCTCTATAGTACGTAAATTTTATGAATTTAAGTGCAGTACTAGATTGGTAATGTCTCACTATTTTACATTTGAAATGGCTAGAGATAATCTTAAGTTCTACGTTAGCAGTTTCTTTTCTCACACTTCTCACTTGATTCGCTTGATTGATTAAGGCGATGAATTAAGAATTTTTGAGGGGCTACTGGACGAAGTAAACGGATCATTGTCAATTATAACTATTATTATTATTATTATAACTATTATTATTATTATTATTATTATTATTATTATTATTATTATTATGCCATTGCTTATGGGTTCACTATGCAATAAAAATGAAATTGTGGTCATTCCATAGAGAGAAATCTACACAAGTTGTGAGAATTTTTTTAATAAACGTTCACCCAATACAAGATCCAAGAGCCACTCAAGGTAGAGGGTTACTAAATGAGGTTGTCGTATAGATGTAGGCAGAGGAAGTAAGTGCAAATTATGAAGATATGTATGATAGGTAAAGGCTGTAATACTTGAGAAGAAGCATCCACCCGGGAGTCTGTTCCATAAAATAGCGGGAGTATGATTTTTTTTTTTGCAATTCACGTATTTTACGGATGCCAGAAATTTGATCGCCATATTTATTTGATGCCTTGATATATTTCTGGAGCCTTAATAATAACGTGTATTGTTGTTGTCCTGAGATGCTATAGCCTACCGATTTCTATCTTGAGTTTCTTTAATAGCTTATTTTTGCAAACGTTTTCAAAGATGTGCTTTGTCGGCGGGCGCTGCATCAACTATTGCTTTCACGATGATTCTTCACAAAAATTATTATTATTATTATTATTATTATTATTATTTTACTACCCGTGCCGCAAAAAATGGCGGTAATTATTAGAAAGTTTTAATAGTGAAACAAAATTTTTGAAATAATGTATTTGTTGTGGTACGATCCACCTAATTTACATAGTGGAGTACTGACCATATAAATATGGTTGGTACCGGGAAGACGGGGGAGGAAGAAGAGATCCAATCCAGAGACTCTGCCCGACTGCGACTAAGTCAACCCATTCTACAGGAACGGTCTTCCCAAGAACATACCAAACTATCTGTAAATATTGTGTACACGTTCTTGTGTCAATACATTTTGTTTAAGTACATTTTGTGTTGTATTATTATTATTCCATGCTTTATTCAAGTTTCAACAGTATTGATATTCAATAAAGCAGAGATAAGGAATTCACGATTAAAATAGAGGCCAATGAACCTTTTAATTAGTCCATTCCCTCTATATTTTTTAGACATTTAATGGCATCTATGATTCATTGATTATTTCTGGCAGTGGCGTACCGAGGTCTTCGTCCAGGAGGTGCAAGAGCTTGACTCGAGCACAACCAGTGGCCAACAAGACGGTCTGGATCAAATACTATTTAAAAAAAATTAAAATACAAATACTTCTCGCGATTATTGACGCAATATAATTGGAAATACAAATATAAATACAAGTAAATTTATTTCAGATTCCAAAAGTACCAAAAAAAAGAGATAAATACTTCTGAAACTAAACAAAAATCTAAATATAAATGTTTTTTCACATAAATACAAATACTCTGAAAAAGTATTTAAATACAATTCAAATACATTTTATTCGATCCACCCCTACCAACAAGCACTGAGAATTGATAAAATTGAATCTCAAGACTAGAGCAATTCATTTAATCTATTTGAATTCGTAAAGCCGCGACATACAACCAGGCTTGGTGGTCAATAATTTATCAATAACACCATTCTTATTTATATGTCCAAATTCTTCATTTTCGATGCTTAATAAAGCCAAATGGCTTAGGCGTTCCTTCGCGACCGAGTTCTATTACATCAAAATAACTACTTTGCAATTTCTACCGTGTCTCCATTCGAGTCAATGAGGTTTTCAATATCCAAGATGAACCCAAATTGTTCATGTAACTGACTTAACCTTGTAAATCGACCTTCCATTTCTGTATTCAACATGTCCAATACTGGCTTCAAGGTAACATTCATTTCTTCTCTCATATTTAGTGGCACATCTTTCGTCTCCTTTCCAGCCATTCCCTTTTTACGATGCACCCTTCTCTGTTGTCCAACGTCAATACACCGTTCTAAGCATTTTCCTCACCTTTTGCAATTGAATTTTTACAGAGAGAATGCCGTTCACTCATAACAGATTGTTGCAGACTTCGAATGTCAAGCTAGAGTTTCATTGAAGGGCACTGATGTCTCTTCTGTACTCGGTTGATGGAAGTCTGAATTGTTACTTGTCATATCCTCCAACAATTTAGCAATGTCATCCAACTTCGTTTTTACAATGTGAACAGCATCGCGCCTAGCACTTCATCTTGTATCTGAGGACCGCTTTACAGCCGTCCCTACTGCCGCCTTCAAATTTTCCCACCGCATTGTTGAGCTGGAGAATAAATTGTACAATGAATCAAGAACTCCAAAAAATGATATAACAAACAAGAGTTCTGCTGCTGCATGCACTCCTACAAAGTTCAAACAGTGGTTGTCACAATTCACAAAGATTGCTTTTGGGTTTCTCTATGATATGCGTTTCTGGACACCGGACATCTTCCCAGCCATTGTTGCAGCATTGGCATACGTCTGTTCACGACAGTCATTCGAATCAAGACCATCTCGTTCCAATTTTGAGGAAATTTCTTCTCTTTTTTTTCATGAATTTCTTCTCGTCTTTTTCATGAATTTTAATAAATTCAATGAACACTTCTTTGACTGCAGCAGTTTTAGATTCGTTGTCAATATTGACAAAACTGGGAATTTAAGATACTTGTTCATTGTGAGAAATGTCAGCAGTTGTGTCGAACATAATCTCTTAGCATCTGCTTCTTTTGACTCTCTGTAGGATAGACTGACGTACTTCGTTGTCCAGTAGCTCAATGAACTTATTCTGTATCTTGCCAGACAAAAAAGGTTGCAAAATGGGATGCGACTTGACATAATCCAAGTGATGCTGTAACAGAAAGTCGTAATTGCTAAATAGCTTGACAAGTGCAAGAATATTACCGGGATTATTACTTGATTCAATGAATACCAGATGCTGAGTCGCCAAAAATTTGATACAATCCACAATACGCATGAGCAGACCCCCCCCATACAATTGCTTCTGTTCCTCCATATCCTTCAGTATTACTCTGTCAATTGTTTCCTATATTCTCACCAGGAGTGCATGGTTTTCCGTAATAAACTTCAAAGACCTTCATTGAGTTTTTCGGCGTAGTATAACAATATAATAATAATATTATTATTATTGCAGCGAAGGTTACAAAAAACACACCGCAAAGCTTTTGCAATCGCTAACGACAACCAAAATTGTGCCATAGATACTCTTCTAATATGCGCCTCTCAAAGTCTTTCCACGCTGATGAGTGCTCTGTTCATGTTCTGGTATTCTTTCATTGTATTATTTTCATTTTCGATATCCACAAGATTTTTCGAATACCGTGTTTTGGTTGACTGAAGCTGTTGAAAATAATAAATTAAAAAAAATACATTGCATAATTTTTAATAAAGTACAACAACCAATTACGCTGAATCGTAGATCCATGCTGTAGTTTTCTTTGAAACCAGTAATTCGTGAAGCTGCTGTTAACACCCGCATGTTTCGTGCTCGTTTCACTCCTCATCAGTTCTTCGACATGTTGGCGCTCAATAACTTCTCGATCTTTTGTAACTTTGAAAGGGCCGTCTTTGTTTTAAAAATCCCATTTGTACGCATAGATCATCAGAAATTTGTGGTTTATCGCAATTTACATACAAATTTAAGCAACCTACATCTTTCTTGGTTAATATTGCATATTGTGCATGTTCATCAGATTGGCAACAATCCACTGACCCTGATACTGTGTCTGTGTAGTCAGGGCCAGTGACAAGTACAAACGGGGAACAACGCGATTGTCTTCATATCCATTTGGATGTGGCATTTTAAAAAACTTCTTCATAACTTGACTGGTTTTCTGTAGATCTTTGCGTTCACTTTTCCTACGATTTCTTCTTTCCGCAGCAAATTCTTCTTTTGTTGCCCATTTTGCTCCGTTCTTAAAAATTTCTGCCTGAAATAAATGTATAGCTTTCCCACTCAGTTATCGTGAAGCTAGTCTGTCTCATACGGGTGTTTATTGTCAACTGAACGACAGCACTATGGAGCCTTAACGGTTTAACACCATAACACCGTTCCACCGATACACCGTAAATATAATCGGGACAATACCACCGTGAAATAAACAAAAGGGGTCGATATCAGAATCCATCCTAACTTAAGAGCCGAATACATATTTACGTTGCAATAAAGCAATTTCCCTTTATTCTCAGCAGGAGTACATAGGTTTCTGTAATAAACTTCAAAGACCTTCATTGAGTTTCTTGGCGCAGTATAATCATATAATAATAACATTATTATTATTATTGCAGCGAATGCTACAAAAAACACCCTGCAAAGCTTTTGCCATCGCTAACGACAACCAAAATGCCATAAAACTCGCCAATCTTTTCGCATCAAAACCCTGTATGTGGGAATATACGGCACTGAGTTACATTAAGATTATTATCTCTAAATCTTTTATATATTCATTGAAATGCTAAGATCTACCAATTTAGGCGAGGAGAAAATTACCATTATTATCATTTTACAAAGAAACGCTGGGTTAGCATCCCAGGAATACATCTTAAAACATTAATATGGATTAGTTTTCAATCTATGTCTCAATCGAGGGAAAACAGAATTAAACCAACTTTTTTGTTGTTTCATTAACACATTTCATGTTTTGGACGGCATGCAGTTCTGTCCGCACTGCGCATGATCGAAGAACTACTGAGCGCTGTCGCCAAAATAATTCATGACGCGCCGTTAAGTATCTGCGGGCAGTCACAAAAAGGATATTAAGGTAAATAAAAGGATTTTAAAGTAAATAAAAAGGAAGAAATTTTAGGCCCTCTTTTACCACGTTTTAAATTAATTTCTCGACATTTTAACCGATAAATATGTTAAAACTTGCCCTACTCTAACCTAACAAGTTCTTAATTTTGCACCACATGAATTAATTTGATTAGATTAGGTCTAGTTAAAGCGAGATTTTTACACATGTTTTTTTTAATTTTTTTTATTTTTTTTTTGTGAAAATATTCGAATTGGAACATTTCACTTGCGATTCACTCCCAGCCACGGCAATAAACTTGCCAATCACCGAGAGAATTCGCGCGTTATGACGGGACGCACCATGTTCCACCACTGACTCCTGGTATTATATAAATCGCTTTTTGTTCAATAGGTTTTAAAAAATTATGCTTAATACAACAGTGAAATGGAAATATCTCTTGGAAGAAAAAGCTTAGCAACAGAACGACATAAACGGCAAAGTTTATTGTAAGACCAAGTTGAAGAAAGACGATCACTTAATAGACAAAGATATCTAAGTGCCTCACACGAAAGGCTTGGAACGTAGATGTAAAGGAACTGTTTAATTGTTCATGTTAGGACCACCAATCAATTGAGATCAGATGCCACGAGAGCTATGCCTGGTGTATTATCAGGGCCTTTATTATTATCATTATTATTATTATTATTATTATTATTATTATTATTATTATTTCCTTTAGCTTCTAGTGTATACTCATTTCTTTTCGGGTCCCGACCAGAGATCTAAGGTCATAAATTGCATCATGACATTTTCTACTGGGCAGTTTTGAAAAAATAATCTCATTATACATAGATAAAGCTCTTCGTAAGGTATGGGCTGTACATGTGAGTATAATGTTTTTGTAATTCTTTAAGGCATGGGCTGTCAGGGATTCCTTCAATGAGTCTATTGGAATCTTTTCCAATCAATCCGAGGGCTCCAACTACAACTGGAATTGTTAATGTCCTCATGCGCCACATTTTTGTGATTTCGATTTCAAGTTCCTTGTATTTTGATAGTTTTTTTTGAAGATCTTTTAAGATACATTGCAGTTTTCAGGGATTGCTATGTCAATAAGGAAGCACATTTTGTCTTTGCGGTTCTTTAATCACGATATCAGGGCGATTAGCTTTGATTGTTCTGTCTCTGTGTATTGTATATTATTGTTATTATTATTATTACAAATGTTTAAATGATAAATAATAGAAAGTAATAAATAATCAAAATAAATAATATATATATAATAAATAAACTATGACATCATGGGTTATATAAATATCTCGTATATCGGTATTTACTAAGCTTAGCTGATTTAAACACACATGTTTTTTAATCAATTCACTCAAACATGGCGATAACACTACAAGGGGCTACTGGAAGTGAAGGAGAAGGAACATACTTTTGAAGGAACTGGAAACCGAATTCTAAACGGGAAACAAGAAATAAACCCCTGCTCTTGTTCAGAAGACCGGGGAAAGGTGTAAACCAGGTGAGAGACGAACCTATCTACTCATATTGAGGAAGAAAAAAGTAAATAAATAGCAAATCAAATTTCAGAGTTTAAGGTGGAAACTTTAGAAATATAGAATTTATACTTGGAGTTCCTATTTAAAGTCGAACCCATGTAAATATAAAAATGTTATTTTATATTACTGTCAGTCTTTGGTGTAATAGCAATGTTTAATCGTCTATGTTGTTTTTTTTTGTACACATTCTTTTGAGAGAAGTGTCTCTTAAGGAAAGTCAGCCGGTTTGTATGAAAAATTGTTAAATATGTATATCTTTTTAGGCTCAGCGGTTAAAAACCGCCAAAATTGTTAAGGATCCATTTATTGAAAATTACTTTTTCGTATATTTTGGCTATTGAGAGATATGATCCCAAGTTCTTATGAAAACTTAGATTGATCGTTCTGTGAGCCTCCTTTTTTAATAAATAGAACTCAGGTCAGTAGATAAGAGCAGAAGGTTTTTAAACATCAAGAAGAGAGCAGTTATAATGCATTTAACATCAAGGAGCAGAAGGTTTTTGACATGAAGGAGAAGAAGGTTTTTGACATGAAGGAGAAGAAAGCATTTTGACAAGAAGGCACAAGGCCACAAACTAACTGTAGAGAAACTAAAGACAACACTTTTAAATAGTTGGTTCTCCGTAAAAAGGTTGTGGTTGAGAAATGGCTTTTATCGTTAGCGAAAATTCACTGATCGTCTTTGCTGTTATTATTGTAGCTGATTCGTTTAAAGTCGCCGACATATGTTTCTTTCAGCACGCGCTGTGAGAGAAAGAAAAATCTAAATAGCCACGTCTTCATTTCGACTTGGAGACAGCTGCATTTCTGATCTGAAAGTCGAAATCTGTGGATTTTTATAAGAACTTTTCCTCGATAGTAGGCTTGCGAAAAATAAGATTTTAGTTTTCTCTAATTGGTCGAATATTTCACATGATAATTTATAACCGATAGACACTTTGATTTAAACGATGTGTGTTGTATTGTGGAATATTTTAGGTATGTTTGTTATATTGTCTGTTATTGGGTAGAAAATAAAGTTTGGGTGTATTTTAATATGGTATGTATATGGGTATGTAATTGTATTGGAAATAGAGTTTATTTTCTATAATACTAGCATTACTATAGTTGAAGGAAGGGAGAGTTTTACTTGCGTTGAAGGCGTCATCATTTTTCACCTCTCCCTACTAAAGGACTTGAAAATAAGAAATCAACCCAGAATTATCCCCGGTCCTACTGAAGTTATTCAACAGCTGTTTGAAGAAGAAATCCTTCCCAAGTCTGTGGAAGGAGGGAAGCGTATGCACGGTCTTCAAGAACGCGGACGAGCGATCTTTCCACTTTCGGTATAGACCAGTCAGTTTCCTCAGTATCATCAGTAAACTTTTTGAGGCTTTAATCAACAAGAAGGTCATCGAGCATCTAGATAGGAACAACCTCCTGTGCGACGAGCAGTATGGGTTTCGGTCAGCCCGATCCACCACTGACGTCCTAACTACCATTGCACACAGACTTAGTGAGGCTCTTGACGACACACATGTCGAGGACCATAGCATTAGATATCTCGAAGCCCTTCGACAAGGTGTGGCATAACGGTTTGCTACACAAGCTCTCTAGCTATGGAAGCACTAGAAGGGTTTTTTCGATTATACAATCCTTCTTTAACTGCCAGTCCTCCGATGCCCTGGCGGTCAACGCAGGCGTCCCCTACGGGTCATTTCTCGGACCGACCCTCTTTCTGATTTACATAAATGATCTGCTTAAGAATATACTCCGATCATTTGTAAATATCTATGCCGATGATACGACGAGATACGAGCGCACCTCTAAAACTCTTGACGATCGGAGATTTGCAGTTGACCTCTCTTCCGTTCTATCATTAACTTTCCATTGGGGAAAAAAACTGGCTCGTTACATTAAATGCCTCGAAAACAAAACTAGTTACATTCCATCACTGCCGATCAGACCCTGAACTACCGCCAGTCACAATGAACGGATGCTCCCTCGATGAGGCATCGTGCCTCGAGAGAATATTGGGCTTCAAACTCACACCCGGTCTCAATTTGAATTCCTATATACGATTTATCGCTAAATATGCAGGTAAAATGGTCAGCTCCCTGTACCGCTCCAGTAAGTACCCGACTCTCCATGTAATCTTCTAACTTTATAAGAGCCAGATCAGGCCGAAAATGGAGTACTGTTGTTGTAGTTAAGGTGGGAGTAAGGACACATGGCACAGTGGATAAAGGCGTTGGTTAGATCCAGTGACAGGACCCAAAGAGTGTGAGTTCAATACTTGGTTAAGGCAGCGGAGAACTTGGTGAGGTGAATTAACAGGAGATAACTGATAACTGACATACATTAGACATGGCACGTGGGACTAGAACAGTCTTCCCCAGCGAGCGAAATAAAGGGTTCAGTTCGACATTCCAATCACTTGAAGAAGGCCGGAGCGTATAACGGCCGAAACGTTGTGATAAATATGGCAACAAAGATGAGGACAATAATCCGAATAATGTAAATAGTGCACATAATACCTCATCTCAGAAATATAGACAGGTTTTTTGTTATAATCTGAATTTGTTTTAATGTATATATTATATTTTATTTATTCTAGGGTTTACATTGTGAGGAGTTTGTTTAATTATTGAGTTTG